ATGTCCAGGTGGATCAAAATAGCTGCCCACGATATGACGGATTACGAGAACTATATTTTCTGTACATTTTCGATGTATTACATTTTTCACTATGATAGTGGCAAGAAAAGTTTTATTTTTTCATTACAAACCTTGAACATTGATATGTGTCATGTCAGAAGGTCGTAGCCTCAGTCTCGCTATCTACGAGAAGAGACTTGAATGGGATCTTGACATGATGTCACCATACAGTACTATGCGAGTTGCAAACCCCAAGTAATGTACCTCTGGTGATATATATAGACCGTCGCAAATAGTCACTGTGCAATCGTGCGCGCGCAACTAGTTACTGTGCACGCGTGCGCGCGTGCGTAGTGACTAGTTGGCAAAAACCGGTCGTTCGCACTTCAAAGATAAAATAACGGCGTTGTTCGCCGCTGTTGTTAATAAATATATATGGATGTATTTTTGTTAATAAAACAACTTATGGTAATGTCATCGCGTACCTGTGTTGATCAACGATCGGCATTTGCTAACACGGTTGGCACGAATGACGGTTGCTGGTTGGCACGAATGACGTCACAGTGCGACGGCCTACTATTAGCCTATTTGTATACCTTAGATGCAAATGTCCACCCTAATCTCGCCGAGAGCATCACGAGACTTGTTTCTGTCGCTGAAACCGAGTGTTCCATTCTCTTACTCGCCATCTCATACATTGTTCTAAATACATGCTGTAGCTGCTTACATGGAAAGTAAAGCGAGTAAATAACACCGAATAAACGGCATGGTGAATACTACGTCAAATAGACATACTAGTATACTGTGTGCGTGACTAATCGCCTAGCTTCACGTCACGGCATGTCTTCCACTCGGCCACCGGGCACCCAACAAAAAGCATGCCTAATAACCGAGCTTATGACGTGCAGGGAGCGTGAAACCCGTCCACGTCGATCCACGCCACACAGCGTAGCCATACATTGCGCCAAAGGCCGTCAGATCTGGCTGTACTGGTACGTATGAAAGCCGAAAGTAGTGGTGTATCATTATAACAGTGAATAAATACTGAGAAAATAAATACATCGGTCTGGGTAGTGGACGCGATAATGAGGAGATTCTCTCAGCGACATCTCGACTGCTATTCGCGTCTGAGGTATATTTTCCGCTTAATATGAACGATAATACAATATTTAATGAATTGGAATGTTTCATTCCTAGAAAAAAATGTAAAACTTGTGAACAAAAAAATGCCCACATGCTCAGTCCACTTTCACGTAAAATGGGTACCCTGGAAATGAAAGCTGGTAAAGCTACTTTAATGGTTTGAACTGAGAAACCACCCAGAGAATTGGTAAATGGCGATAATCTAACAGTAACACAAGCCACATTATTAATTCAATTAATGCTGAAGATAAAATTCTGGTAATTTCTTTACAAGATTATATATAGTAAAAATAACGATAATTATAGTGATAAAAATGCTAATTCTGAAAAGTGAATCGGCATAAACAAAAGTCAAATAAATCAAAGAAAATGGCAATTGTAAATAATAATCAGGAAATCCGTATGGAAACAGGTACACCCTGTGGTAGCAACAAAAAAATGAAAATATTAAAAATAAAAACGTACAGTTTTACATAAAATAACCGAAATGGGTGACCAAAAAGCACGGAATAAAAACAAGAATAAATACAATGAGGGTAAAAGTCTCGTTGATAAAAATTAAAGTGTCTAATGAAATGAGAGTACGAAACCCTTTTTTTTTTACTTGAACCCAACCTTGGTCGATTGGTGGTTCAAAGGAAGTATACCTCTGTACATATGTTCAAGACGCATTGAAAAATCATGTCATAATATCGCACCACTTCACATCACCATACCACACTATACTACCGCCGCACCACCATCAGAATATATCGCACCAAATTTCAACACCATCACACAGCACGGCACATCAATATACCTCCGCCGTACTACACACCGCACTAACATCGACCACCACATCGCATCACCACCACTACATCGGACCACCACCACATCGCACCACCACCACCACATCGCACCACCACCACTAAATCGCACCACCACCACTACATCGGACCACCACACTACACTACTTTGTAAGGACGTCATTTCTTTTAATATAACGTGCAAATACATTGTTGCTCACATATTTCAGTAAAAGATGTTATATATACAAAGTGTTTACTGTTTTTCTCATGTCGATAATAATAATGAACGCCACTGACACCAACACTACCACACTCTATATACAAATCATTTACAATGGCACGATACTGTAATATTCGCGCTAGGCGCAAAATTTACTGCTTTTATAAAACAATTGTATATTAAGATGTTTATGCAAATATAACGTCACGCAGCACGTGACCCGACCGTCTGGTGGGCAAATGTGAAAGTCACGAGGTGTTTAATATTTTATTTCAGTGAAATATATAAGCTTAAATTAGTGACGGTGCTAGGGCCTGGTTGTTTCAAGAATGGACTCTTTGTTCAATAATATCTTCTGTAAAAGGACGGCTGTTTCTTAAGATTGTAATTTTAGTGTATTTCAGTGTCTCTGGAAGCGGTGGGGGTCGTTACCTGCGCACGCGCGGAAATTGAGACCTAAGCGAATATACAAACGCTTGTTTGTAAACAACGTTACGCTATGACCATTGACCGCATGTTAATTTGATGGACGACTCCCTGGCTTTAAGGTGGTTATAACAGATCTATAGCCTTGTATAACGTTTACAATGTGGTTCTAGTTACATATGTACGATTTGTTGCTGCTTTATTAGTCTCTGACGACACACAGCGCACTCAACACGTCATGTTAGTTTCAGTTACAAACTTTGGCTATACTTGACAGATAATTTGTTTTAAGCTGGTGAAAGTGGAAGTTGTAAATATGTGAGGAAAGACTATAAAGTCGTCTGCATGCATTTGACTAATTAATTTGGGCGACTATTTTATCACATTTCAGAAGTTTTACATATTATATTATGGTTAATCTAGCCATCTGATTGGCTGAAAAAGCTATGATGAATAGTTCACCAATGTAGTTCGGTGATCATAGATTTAACTGTGTTTGGTAAACAAACATATTGTAAATGTCAAAGAAATTAAATCATCTGTCTCAATGTAGCCAAAATTAGACCGTTAATTTAAACACAGGTTTCATGCAAAGGGGTGTCACCATTTTTCATTTTATATCCGTTGACATCAGCACTAATTGCGGACGTAGTATCTGACAAATCTATGTACTGCTTGCCGTTTGACACTGTCGTCTTCGCAGTTGTATCCCCATTTATTACATTCACGCGTACGCCCGCTTCGTCTCTCGTAAACTGAGCCATTTCCTCATCGTCTTTTTTTTCGTCTTTTTCTTTTTTCGAGCGCTTCGACATCATTATCCCCACCGGCACCATCAGAAACAGAAACGAGGCTTCAATCACCATATAGATGGCCGGGAACGCTGTGGTGCGCCCTCTGTCGTTGGGATAAGACAGCAACATGAGAGTGAGTGCCAATCCGACGTTCTGCACGCCGGTCTCCACGGCAACTGTACGACACTGACTTTTGCTCATCTTTGCTAACATTGCTAGTATGTAGCTGAGCGTACAGGCAGTGGCAGGAAGGATGCACCCAATAAGCCAAAGTGACGGGTGATCCGTGAACGTATTTGGGCGCATAATGCACTCAAATGTGTTGATGAGAGCTACGCCGATCAAGGAGATGATGTTAAACACCTGCAATAGTTAAAAAAAAAGGTAGATTTTATTACAAGATATGGCTGTGTTTTTTAAAGCGCGGCGGTCGTCGCGCAGCGCGTGTTCGAATTTCAAACAATTTATTTTTCACGCGTTCTATACGTCACCATGAGTTCCAGATCTAACAGAACGCGACGCGATGACCACCGCCCTTTAATACATGTGAACTTCTATACACATTTACACGAAATATGCAAATTTTCCCTGAATAATACGTCAAACATTGCTGATTATATCGTTAAAATTACACTACTAGTATATCCTTAATTCAACGAAATCCACGTGAATAGTTCTGTGTTTCTGGATCGTGGGTAGATTGTGCTTTTTGTGATCGTGCGCCTCGCTCATTTTATTATTATTTTATTTTTATTTTATTATTATTTTTTAATTTTGCGTACTGTTAAAATGCGTCACAAATGGCAGAATAGAGAAATGTGTTTTTTCTTTGTTTCAGAGGGTGTTTCTATGTTCAAAATCAATGTTCATAACATCAAAAAGTAAAATAAAATTAAATCAAGCAATCTCAGTCCGAAGTATGTCTGGGCATTTCTCACATATAAAATAATCATTTAATATGAGTTAAAGGGGAACCGCTCAATCCCTTGGATTGCACCAAAGAATCATGGGACACTATTGTTTATGTTGTTTACAATGTTAATCTATCTTTTGTTATCCATTGTTATTTTAATCCAGAAAGTAAATTTGTTGTAAAATTAATCTTAACTGGAAGGTACCCCTTTAATATTTCACTCAGATTAGCGCAACTCCTGAAACACATAACAGTCTAGAGACCTTAGGAATCATCCGTTGGTTATACGTTTACTACGCATGCGTAAATAATCTGATGGTACAATTCCAGAAATAAAAAAAAAAAACGATGAGAATAAATCTTGGCTTTGCGTTTACATCTGTACTGTTGTTACGTAACAAGTGTCACCTAGTGGGTGCATTTGATTATTTGCCATGATTCACACTGTACGTGTGTACGCATTGTACTCGACCTAAGAGGGGATTAGCGGGTATACCCGGATATTGAGGTGCCGCCCACATTTGCCCGACAAATAAAATTACATACTTTGCTGAGTACTGCTGCAACGTGCTCTGACTTGTAACGGATGAAAAAACCAACAGTGACAGGAGCCAATATACCAACGAGTGCGAGAAATATTTGCAAATACGGAATGACCAATTCCTGGTCACTCCATCCTTTGCTGTAGATGAAGAGAGACAACGGCATCATGCCAAACGCCACCACAGTTGAACACGTTGTCATACAAATACTGAAAGAAAAATAACACTTGCGTTAAGATATGGTACGATGATCTCACTGTAGTGACATGGATTCAATGATAACCACTTGACTCTCTTGTTCGTTGCTCTGCCGCTTGGGACGCGATGACTAGATTTCACGGTATCGTAGACTAAATTACAAACTCCGCCTTTACAGATTCAATAACGAGAAAGTCCAAACTGAAAATTTACATTTCATCAAATCCGTAGTCTATGGTCAAAGGAAGGAAATTTTGCTGAAGTTATTCCCATATTTTATTAATTCATTTGGAGAAACTTTCCCAGTATGCCGTTGCCCGGGTTACGCACAGTCAAATATAATATAAATGCCAAACTTGATTCATGATGAAAGTTAATAATTTGAATTTAAGAACTCATTCTCGGATTAGTCGATTAAAGTGCATCATTTCCTTTGTATTGACTCGTAAAAAGATCTAGATTGCCTCGAGAATTCCTAAACCACAGCTCGGAACATATATTGTTTATAACATGCTCACAAACATTTTGATGATTTTGAAAGTTGATGGAACACATATGTATTATTCACAAGTCGGGAAATTGAACTGACAGTTGATTTGTTACCTGAGCGAGAGGTCGCCATCCAGCCAGTATGTTAACATGTTCGACATGTTGCCACCAGGGCAGCATGCCATCACCAACACTCCAATGGCATACTGGAAGTCAAGTTTGAAAGCATGAGCGAGACCAAATGCGATTAGCGGCATCATACCATACTGACATACGAACCCGATGAAGACGCCGACCGGTCGCCGCAGATGGGACATGATTTCGTCGTACGTAATTGAGCAACCCATGGCTATCATGACAAACAGGGCCACTATTATGACAGTTGTACGCTGTGCCAATTTCAAAGCTTTGATACGGGGAGACATGTGCCACTCTTCGACTGTTGCGTTACCGGTACTATTCGAGGCATTCCCCATCACTGCCCCGGAAAGAGCGCTAACCCATAACTCAGTGAAACTTTCAAAATCGTCCATGTCGGCATCCAGATCAGACGGTTTCACCAAACCCGTGAAATTAAAGCCTTCCGCCATCTGGCCCGCTTCCAACCAAATGTTCACAAGTATACCGAAACTTCACACCCGGAGAGTGACACACGAATGACCAGTATTTCGTTTCTTCCAGTTCTATTTGTAGTACATTGATATAAATATGCAAATTACTTATATTATAAAAATAGACTTCGTCAGCTATGATTTGAGCCTTTGTCGGTTCGTAAAATTGTGTTAACACATCGATGCTACGTGGTGGCTATTATTAAAACTAGATAACACTTATTGCCGGTCATTAAATACCACCGTCCACTTGCACGTTCCGATGATCATACCACCTAGAATCCTTTACAGCAAATTCTCGAAGACTTTTTCCGCTCGGACCAAACTGCAGCACCCACACCGATACAATGTTTTGTACAATGAGGTTTTGATTAACTCATTAGTAAAATTAAAATTGTCAATCGAGTCGTGAAAGCCTATTTACATACATTTGTATTTTTATATATCTAATGACCGATACGAAGTTGATGACGTCCGAAGATTGGCACTCTGGCTGATTTAAATTCCGATCTAAATGGATGACAAACAATATGCGATTAAGGAGAAATTCTGCTTTTCATCCAAGTCACCCAAATGTTTTGAGATAATCAGAATAATGGTATGTATCTTCCAGCGAATTTTATCGTCACGAATACTCATAATTTTACAAATAACATATACCAGGAAACATTAAAATAAAATATCACACATGAATTTGAAACGTTATTTTAACATAGCTAAGCAATTGGAAACTCTTTTTTTTAACTGCAAAGGGCACGGTGTCGTATCGATGTACTCTTTCCCGACGTTAAGGTTAATGCCATACACGGACATTCATGATGCTGGTACTACTATTTTACATATTCTATTCCAATCAATTGGAAACGTCCATAATTATGACTCCATGACTGCGTCATATCTGATCATAACAATATCCATCTTCGCGAATATTTGTAAGAATTTTACCGTATCATGCAAATTTCAAGAAGTCACAACTGAGCGGGTAGTTCATACAAAAGTTATGGCTATAGACCACTTTCCCGGAAGTAGCAAAACTGGGGTGCAAAAATAGACCTGCTTTGTCATGGCGGATAATACAAGCATGTCAGTTTACTGATAGTCGATAAAAAAGAATTATATTTTTGTTACGTCAATTGGTACACCCAGAAGCACAATATCACGCGTGCAAGTTGACGTTACACCCCAATTTTGCATGCGCGCGCATGCGAAAAGCCGTAACTTCGACTTCCGGGAAAGTTGTCTAATCTGGGCACGGAGGAAGCGTTTCTCCGCCAGAGGGCGTTTCATATTTATCATTGCAGCAATAACATAGAAGGCAATCATTTATGCCAATAATATAAAAACGCACTGTTTGCATTGATATCATGAATGACCTGACCGCTAAATGTTGTCATGTACTTAGTTTAAAGCGGGAGGGTCGTCACCTACGCACGCGCGGGAATTGAGTCACAAGCGACGATAACACACGCTAAAAACGCAAAGGCTCATGGGTAGGAGCTTGTTTGTAGAAAATGACACGCTATCGCCATCTGACGCATGCGCAGGTGACGACTCCCCGCTTTAAAACTGTTTATTAGTTGTGAAGAACACGTCAAAAATACAATATTTAATGCTTCTTTTAAAGGAGTGGTCGTCGCGCCACGCATGCGCGGGAAGAATTTGCGTTAAAATCGGTGTTTAGTGCACAGATCAAAACTCACTTTCGTGCTTACCGCTGTGAAAGCACGTTGAATTGTGGGAAAACTAACATTTATCAAGTCATATGTCGTACACGCGATAACCAACATTGAATCTTTGAAACATATACATAATAATGTCAGCACATTCAGACGATGCGAGGCACGTATCTGTAATTTGAATAATATAATTATCCCAATTAAGATTTTTGTACAGGTTAAAATTACGTAAGTCGATTAAATATTTTAGAATAATCAAGGCACCATTAGTTTGTAAGAATAGTGAGCTAGTGATATCCACTGTATATGTCATGGGAAGGTGCAGAGGCGATAGTCATATTTATCTTTTCAGTGGTATTTATATTATCACTTATCATTTATTTTAACCTAATTTCTTTGCGAATTTATAAAGTGGCTAGGCCACCACAACTCCTTATGTTATTCAGTCGAAGTGGGAGATCATCGAGCCGGAGGAGCCGGTTAGTCAACATTGACTGACGCAGAAATGAATTGTTTGAGGTTTGTTTTGATATATCTGACGATTGATTGGGTTTTGCACGGACGATCATGCAATATCTGACATAACTAGCAAATAAAGACAGATTTATATCTTTTTAATACTAAGCAGGGGGAGTTGTTGCGGAATCGACGTGCCACGATGTTAATTTTACAGTGTGATCAGTTTACACTGGCGCGAAATGTCAGTGGTATAAATCCATCAAAAAGCAGACGAATATCCCTCCGCAATGGTAATCCTGTGCCAGAGATAAGAAACGCAATGAATACCCGAGGGTATGTGCCACTCAGTCTGTTTTGAGTTGTTTTGCTAAAACGAGGAATATACAGTTTTAACATTGGCAGCTGATTCGTGTTTTTTTTTTACTAATTTAACTTTCAAATTAGCTCTTGAATCCACAATTAACGTACAAACAAGCGACATGAAAATAGGTCTATTTACTAGTGGCATTCATTGATGGGAGGGGGACAACAAATACAACGGTCAGGTTAGGGTGTGCAAATAATTGGTGTATATTTATAACACGGGTCTAACTACAGAGGATGTGTATATGTATGCCCCAATTTAATAATGCATGCATGTTTAGAGCCATTCGCGATAGAATTACGTCATCGAAATACGGCTAATAATTACGTCATGGTGAGCGCAATGACCACACAATGACGTATTTTTAAACCGTAGATCAAATGATCAACATAATCGAACGTTTTACATCAGTACATGATAGCATTGATATAACCAGGATCGCACGAATAACTAATGGAGATGTCATTCTGAAATTGAGCAGTGTCCGGAAATCAGGATATCCGCGACTGCAAATGTGCGTCATTCTGACCAGTCACGTGACCCACCTCGATCGATCACACGT